ACTGAGAGTGTGTGATCGGCCATTTGCTACATCCTGACGGAGTGATTGAGTGAGTGAAGGAAGTATGTTGAGAGAGAAGTTGTCCATGACTTGAAGAGCAATTGATGCAAGAATGGATTATTAGAAACTGATTGTTGATGTTTTGAACGTGTCTGTGTGTGTTGTTTGAGAGCTTGTGCTTTTGTTTCACTCTGGTTTTTACCCGGATTTTTCACGGTTTTTGTTAGATGTTTCTTCAGTGTCATTTGGCCCATTGCAGAAAATATCTTTTCGGACACTACATTTGAGAATTATAGACGGGCCAATGTCATCCTGAAATACGTGAATACAACTTGAAACGAGACGTTCTGCTCTTTATATGCAGAATGCATTGCAGGTTTTATATATAATAATGCAGGTGCAGTATGCTCTCCCGAAGTGGTCCGAGTATGTATTGTCTGTCCTGATTCAAAACTCAATACATACAACACTTAGTTTAAAGTTTGGAACAGCTCAGACACCCTCTAGAGTTTCTGACCCAGTCAATGTGTCAGGTGAAGGGCAAAGGAAGGTCAAAGATGACCAATATGGCTGCCAGGATGTTTTCTATATGGTATCGAGAATTTAGGTTGAAGATCCTATTACGGTACAGCCAGGCTGATGACAGTAAAAGGCCCATCATAAACCCACATCAAAGACATATCAGACACAGTTTATACCCATCTTATCCTGCCTATGTTTTAGTAATGACATTCTGAAAGGAGCCTGCTGAAATAGTTAATGATTTGCTTTTAAAGGATTTTGATGAAGAGATGAATATCGTTGATGGGGAGTGAATGTCAAAGACCCCAATTTTGTTTGCATTTATGAATCCTGAACTTTGACTTACATGTAAAGCTGTGTTAAGTAACATTAGGATGATACAAAAAGTCAATTTCTTTACAAATTAAGTTGAAAATACCTTATTCCATTGAAAATATGTGCCATTCAGGAAAGTGGAGGCTCTAAAATATTACACCTTACAAGTGACAGTGTTTAAAAACCTGGAAACACAGTACAGTTGTCAGTCATGTTCGTTTATATTCTGATATTCTGTGGTGGTGCTACAAAATAAGTGCACCTCTTGTGAGCTATTTCATTGCATAATTGTAGAAAAATGTGAAACAATAGCACAAATATGTTGAAAAGTGTAAGTAAATGACAATCACAAGGAAGAGGGCCATTATTTGCATCATACAACTCTTCCCAACTTAATCACAACTTACAGTTTTTCAATATCGATCTCTTCCTTTGGTTGAAAGCCCACAGTGATTAAAGTCAGCTAATTGAAAAGAGGCTTCAGTTAATTGCTTAGTTGTTATTCAAAGTCAGGTGATGATTGGATGATAAACACTGCCCAGTTTTCATCAAAACTAAATGTTGTTTTGTTGACAGTAATTTTATTGTTAGTTTGAAATATGATTATCAAAATTTGGATTATATTGCATGTGGTTTCATCATCACAACAACCATTTTCTTGTTTTTCCTGAATTATATCTAGCTATAGGTTTTCGATAAAACACTAGATGTCTTCTAATATTCCAATGAGAATCAATGAATGTCAACTCTAATGATGATTTTGAGGCTATACACAATGTAGTAATGTATATACTATATTATATCTACTGCAGCTATTTGCTAAAGATTGCACAAATGAGCCCTGAATACTGACAATCCGACCTTGAACTTAAGACTAGTTATGACCTTGCCATGCCCTTGAGATGACGAGACTTAGTAAATGTTATGGTTATGTTTCCAAAGTGTGATCCTCAATGTTCCACCCAGTTTAAGGAACAAATCCGCCTTGATCCGACCATTACTATTGGAGAGGAGGTGTATCAGGCACAGATGGCTTTGCAATTTGGCACCAGCGACTTTCCATGTCAGGGCTCGATGAACCCGTAATTTGATGGTTTGGGGGAAGAAGACACCAATGAGATAATCGATGCAGAACATTCAAGATGTTCTGCAATAGATTACTTTCAAGTGTTATACTTTGGAAGAAGCTGTTTGGAGTAAGGATATGTGTGTTGTTACCTAAAAAAGTTGTGAGTGTGCAGATGTGTGTGCTTCTGCAGCAAAGTATAATTATAATGTGCATGTGTATGTTTGTGTATGCGTCTATCACAAAATGCATGTTTATGTTTGAATGTGTAGGTGCAAGTGTCTTGTATGTATGCCTGTGTGTTTGAGTATGTGTGTATACTATGAATACATGTACATGTATACTATGAGTGTGTGTGTGTGTCTGTGTGTGTATCTGTGTGTGTGCGCATCTGCATGTGTGTCTGTGTGTGTGTGTGTGTGTGTGCGCTTATGCCTACGCATGTTGGTGTGTATGAATTATGAGTAAATGAGTGCTCTATGTGTGTGTTTGTATGTGTGTGAGTGCATGCATGCATGTGTGCGTGCGTGTGTTTGAATCAGTAATAAGGTACTAGACAAAAATATTTACAATTGCGATGTCCAGACTTTCTTCCTGGCAAGGTGTGATGTTGCACTTCCTTCTATCGCACAATTTTGGCAAGTCTTTTGCACAATCTCCTGTCAAGGCCTCCCCAATTTCGTTTCTTGGTTCTTGGATTTCAAATAAAATGTTGAACAGAAATAGAACGACATCCATTGCATTTGTTCAAACAATTTGATGAAGTGTTTTTTTTTGTTTTCATCTTTCCCTGTTGCTAAATTTTTACCCAAAACATGTCCAAGAACTGGGGATATACAGTACAGATCTCGAATAAATTTTCTTTGGTAAGCATACGGTTAAAACTCAATCAAAAATGTGTAAACTACCTGCACAAATTAGCTACAACTGTGTGTGGTTATTATACTCCTCACAGACAGGCATAACCAATTTTTGCAAACCATCTACTTGTGTTTTACACGAGAAATAAACACTGATTTTTCACAGCTTTTGCACACATTTCAATGGAGAAATCCACAGCTTTCTGCACCACATTTGATGGCAATTTGCATGCGTGCAGATAGATGGAAAGCTATTTGAGATCTGTACTGTCAGTTGGTGGGGCCTAAAAGCCAGATCACAATGTCTCATACAGCAGCACACTACTGTTTCTTATCTCAGTCTATTCTTTTGTCCAGTATAGCCTTTATCAAACTTTAAAGGAGAAAATTAGTAAAATGTCAACACATTATCATAATGTCAACACATTATCATTAATGACACACTTTGAATAAAATTTGAAACTTTGGAAAATAAAGCTAAGACTTACATATTGTGATTTCAAATTGCTGATTCTTAATTTACAGTAAACAGCTACTGCTGCTACTGATTTTCTGCTGCCTATACAGTAAAAGAGTTTCTTATCACCACTGTAAAGTTTTTCTGCACAAAGCTACTATTGGCACCCAGGTGGCAATTTTATGTTCTCTTGTGCAGGTTTTTTTTCCAGCATCTGCCATTCCGTCATTTCGCTGCTCATGAGTGACAAAAACTCTTGCCAAATTTCTGCCATCTTCACAGACAAACATCTGTGTACATATGATATACCTGTAGAAAACTTGAAGACTTGCCAGAACATCAAATTTGCCTCTCAGGATGTGAAAAAAGTTTGAGAGATTTAAAATTCCAAACTATATACATCCAGACAGTGTACTAGCCAACCTGAAATTTTTTGTCCATCAAATATTTGTCTGTCATGAGTGGCAAAATTCCATCAAATGATGGAAAAACAGACACTGGCTAGACCACAGCATCCAGAGCTGGAAAAAAAACCTGGCTGGACGTACTGTTTTGTACTTTGCATCTGTTTTCCAGCCTCCTGTTTTCTCCTCTCACGCTCTAATCATCACTTTAATGTCCTTCTTCCTGTGATCGCCAGGTGCACGGATGATTACGTTGGCAAGCGCTGCCAGTATCTAAACCCTGCCGTGTACAGAGCTCAGTTACGACGTATGTGCCTCTTTTCCTTCCCTAGATGTTATATATGTGTACTGTGCATGTCGTGCTCCGATGGTAGTATATGTATACGCATGTTGTTAACAGGTGCATGAAGGGGTTTAAAGGAGGACGATGCCAGTTGACCGATTTTCAAACCCCTCAGGAGCCGGTGGATGGAGCAGTTGGGCGTGGTAGTATGATTTTTCCTGTCCCTCTTCATTTGCAGATCCATTTCTGTGTGTGTAAAGAAAGGCACATTGCATCTTTTGAGGGACACATCCACATTTTAACTGTTTTCCTAGTAGAAAATGATGAACATGTTCAGCCCCAATGTTGTATTTTCATCAATTTGCTTCTTGTAATTCTGTGATAACTTTACAGTCTATCACTATACAAAGGGTAGAATGGAGTTTCTGTGCCAAAAGCTCATGAGCCAATAGAAACTATGTTAAATGATAAGCCTGTTTTATTCTTAGTGTCAACACCAGACTTTTGGTATTTCATGCGACAAAGCAGGTTTTAATCTTGAATGTCAACCTTGCATATAAACTTTTGTTAGTTAATAAACTAACCTAGAAATACACTACTAAACATGTCCCATTCACGTAACTTTAACAGTACAGCTGAAAAATCTCATTGAAATTGGCTACATACAATGTATAACAAGCATGAGTATGTAACATGCATGGTCACACTCCTCATGAGTTAGCAATGTGTCTTCCTTGTTTTTAACACTGCATGATGAGTTAGTAACTACAGTAACTTCAACAGACGATGCATGTGGTGTACTGCTGATACACGTGACTCTGGTCTAGTATTGTAATACCTTTTTACAACACTTTGATGATCATACAATCATAGTCCTTGTGCTCATTGGCAGTTTAGGCTCTGAAAACTAGAAGTTCTAAGGCTGGCTGCCATTTTATGTGTTAAAGCGATCATAATTTGTCAAGCACAAATTTGACTGTAGAGATTTGTATCTGCAGTACACATGCGAAATCTGTTGAAGTATCAAACTAGATTATTAGACGTGTAGGGTGGGTATAAAAGTAGAATGTAACATTGTAATAATATTATACATTCTGAAAGTACAGCGTATAATAACCTCATTTGTCTCACCACCCCTCTCTATCTAAAATTTGGACGTCCCAACCCAAACAGATATTACTACATGTACTTGTTCCGAACAAGCCCCCCTGTACGTTGTGAAGACATGCATGTTTGCATACGGCCATACATGCAGATATACTGCACTCTGTCTGCAAGGCATCTTGGGATTGAGGGCTGGAAGGCTTTGTGTTGAAAACACGGAATTCATCACAGTGTATGCAAATTAGTTACCTCGATTCCATATATGGAAGTTCTCATGATTCCATATATGGAAGGGTCCAAAGAATTATGCGTAAATATCAGAATTCAGAATCAGAATCAAATAACAGTAACTGAATTCTTAGAAATCAGTGGACAGATATGGTATGTTCCAAATTGATAGCTTTCCTTCCTTGACAAGACTCAAGATCTTGGCATTTGACCAAAAAGACTGGGTAATGTCAAAGATCAACCACAGCTATGAATGTATAGAATTTAGCTTGAATGCTCATCTGATACTGTCTACCTGTATTGGGAGCCAGTATTCAAGACAATGCCTTAAGATCGGAAAAGCAATTGACGGCAAGTTTGCCTCCAAGTCTGAGGTTACCAAGTCGATTCTCTACTTGAGAAGAAATCCATGTCTTCAATCCTACGATTCCTTGAGCGACATACCGATAGACAAGTAGCTTCCACGTCTTTGACTTCTGGAAGACGTTGGACCTGCTTGTATGTGTTCCAACCCGTAACGGTCGATTTGCCACCCTCTGCTTCCGTTTGGACACACAGGAAAGCGATCTTTAGCCTTCAGAGGTACCTCCACTCACTATCTTATCTAGCCAAGAGCTCTTCCCTGCCTCTACATCCAATAAGGTTTGCCACTCTTCAATGGCAAAACCAGTGTTGTGCCAAGGAATGGACTCAACTAAAAAAATCTGACCAAAACTTCTTTTAAAAATCTACCCAAGAAAAAAAATAGGATGACTGACTGTTTGGATATTTCAAAAATTTAGAATGAACCAGTTCATTGTTTTTTTATCCAAAACTGTGTGTAAAATATTGAAGAAGGAAAATCTGAAGTAAAGTGAAGAGGGAAATATTTTTACACCAAGCGAGATCGAGAGATTGAGGTGCAATACTGGTTTTTGTACAGACTGTCCAGACTTCTCTTCATCTCATGCAAAGTCCCAAACACGCATTGTGTGGCATGCTATGGCCTGAACATGCATGTCTTTGCATGGCTTGCACCATGTATGATTAACCCACCATTAACAGTGCTCTATCCTGCACATATTCCTCTCATCACCACGACTTTTCCTCTATCATATCTACAGACATTTACGGTGGCATTTTCCCCTTCCAGTAACCAGCTCATTTCCTCCTGCAGATTAGATATTATACAAAACCATGTACATATATAGTATTACATATCTCTGGATTTTTCTATAGCACTGCATGATTATTTTTGTTAGCCGCAGCAACTTTTTGAAACAGTTATTTTTTACATTTTGTAATGCTTTCAACATGTACAACCTCAAGTTTGTTACTATTGTCCTGTAGTTACTTGTACAAGTATATGAATTCCATGTCATACACAGATTTTGCTGTATAATTTGTGTTAGGGGAAGGTTTCTGACATTGTATTTGGAAGCATTGTCATGATTTTTGTATACCCCAAGAAGCAGTTTAAGTTTTTGTTGTACAATGTATGATGTTTTCATCATGTTTACATTGTAAGCCATACCTGTTATAAAATGGTAATTCAGCATAAACATACAATGTAAATCTAATGATACACAGTTGCATTATCATTTTGACTTCCACCAAATTACCATATTTTTTACCTGTCGTTATATCTGTGGTAAATGTACATTATGCTACAACCAGATAGTAGTTTTTTTCTTCCATGCAACAATGGTTATGTTTTTTGTAGAAATGTGGTCACTATAACATTTCCTTCTTTCTAAGATGACTCTACTTATTAAATGAAGCATGCAAACCATGCGTAACTCTTTTTCTGACCAATCCAACTTTGTTTCCTCTCCTTTTTGACACTGAACAAACTTTTCTGTGTACTAAAAAATCACTTATTAGTTAATATTCTTCTCTTCCTTCAACTGGCATAAACCAACAGGTTGTTAAATCAAATTTTGTTTTATTCATAACTTCTGTGGCTCATAAATTTTATATTATTAAGATACTGACAGGGTCTCTAATTGCAAAAAAAACTCACTTCAGAAAGAAAGAATTCACTTCAGATGCTTTGCAGTTTTACAGTTTTAATTTTAAAAAAGTCAAATTGTAAAAAAAATACTCAGATCTCAACAAATGTTGGTTTGGTCTTGCTACTCAATCCATTTTTGATAACTTGCTCCAATGCTCTTGATAATACACACATGTACTAAGTCTTGTAAAATGATAAAAGTATCTATCTTCCTTTACCAAATTTAATTTTTACCTTTGTAACACGACTTATGAATCATTCTATCTGTTATTAATTTTCTTCCTGTGATATTCTTTATCTCCACTTCCAGGCTTCTTCCGTTCTCCCCCCAGACCACCTTTCGATTCCTAGCCCGACCAAACCACGCTGATGTAAACTATTTTTGTAGGTCTAATGTTGCAGGCCACTGCAGTTTATTTCTTTTATTTATTTATTTTTTTACATTTTCCCCTCCTTGTTTTTAGCATGAGACTTGAAGTTCAGTTGTTGCAGTTCTGGTTACCGTTTCCTGAAGTTGTTTATCTAGCTCTGAGATTTTGTTTGTTTTTGTTTGTTTGTTGACATGTTCTTGGAAAGTATGGTCTGCCTGTGCATGTAGCATGCCTGCTACAATATGCTGATCGATGCACACTGGTGGAACAATATTTAACGAAATGTTGTTCACTTAATATGTGCAGTACATACTTAAGCCTAAAGAACTACCTACTCTTGAATGAGGTCAAAAACATGTTGTTATGAGGTTTCTGTTGATGACTTACATGTATGGAAAATTTCAAATTTGAGTATTTCAGTGTTCATCAACAATGTACTGCACATACATGACATGAGTTCTTGCCTGTATGTTGTGGCATGACAACTGATACAGAGGCTTGCAGCAAAGCTTGCTCGTGCACTCAGACCGATCCATTTGATTGAATCAGACGTTTGGAATTCATTCTTTACAGTTCCAGAGTTGTTCATATGATACCTTGCATTTTTAAACGCACCAGCCTGGGCATTGTGTAGCCTATCTTGTTCTTGAAACCTGAATGTCTTAAATCTGTCTACATCTGAAATAGGATTAACATCTGTGTCCATAACATCACCAGGGTCCATAATATCGCCACCCTGAGATATTCTTACTGCAACATACTTTTGGTATGCACTCCTGCACACCTCAAATGTACATACCTAGGGTATGTTGCAGTAAAAATATCTTTAAGCACACTTTTTCTCAAGGTGGCGATATTATGGACTATGGTGATATTATGGACACAGATGTTACTTCGTATTCGTGTATTGCAACTCTCATGTTCCTTGATTTGCAGAAAAATAAAGCAATGGCTGGTGTGTTGTTCATTGCATATGTACATGTATACACAAATGCATTGTTTCTCATTTTATGTACTAGCTGAAATATGGTTAGAATTTCAATCTTCTTGCCATTGCTGGATGTCAATTTTTGTTCTTTGTTTTCCTCCGTAGGTGCAGAAGAAATTCATCAGAAGAGAGTCCTTGCTATCACTGGAATATGTTTAGCTCTACTTGTTGTTGGGATCATGTGTGGTGTGGCGTGGTATATGTCTAGGTATGTGAGAAAATAAACAATATTTAATATACAGAAAATATAATACAATATACATTGTACAACAGGAGAATGGAAAAGGAATAATGGAATCAGCATGGTACAAAATATTTTGTAGTTCGCAAGTCTGCCTGTGGATGCAGTGCAGTTTCTGTGTATTCTGCCAGATGGCGCTTACAAGCATGAGAAAATATGCCCCTTCTGAGGAATATGGAGCTAATAAAACGTTCTTGTAAGGGAGAAAAGGCTAGTCTAGCTTCCTTGTAGATGAAAAAATATTAGCCAATTCTTTTGCCTATTTGACTAAATTTTACTGTTTTAAACCTGTATCGTTAGTCTGGTACATAAGTATAGAAAGGTAAAATAAAGCGACCGTTTCTGATTGGCTTATTGTGTTTTGCAGGAAGCAACGTAAGAAGTGGTGCCGAAAACACCTGATGGCAAACGGCCAGGCCCAGGGCGGGGACGCGGACGGAGAGCTTCATGAGGGGGAGATCATGATCCCAATGGCAAACGTAAGAAACTTTCCGAGGAAACTGTTGCTCTAGCAACTGGATAGGTTTTCACAATCTATCCAGTTGCTTGGATAACAATGTCCTTGTGTACATGTATCTCATTACCTGGATGTCTAACCTTCATGGACACAAGAAACCTTCATTTTACCTCCAAATATGCCTTTGTCATTTCATCAGAAGTTGATCATAAGTTGATGTCATTTACCATTATTTTGGGCCGTATACTTTTAAAACAATGATGAACCATACAGACTGTCAGTGTGAGAAATTTTGTTCATAGCAAAGCTCTTAATTATGTTTAATATTTCCTTGGTAATGTGTTGGTTCTCAAAAACAGGTGAGCTGGAATATTAATGGGAATGAAAGAGACTTTCTAATTTATTTTTTGCCCAAGAAACAACTTGGAATTGATCTACATTTTTATGATTTGAGTGATGACAGTGAAATTATTACCCATCATGCAGCTGGCTGGGGGTTCCCGCACAGAGCCCAAACAGGACCTGTCTGACGAGACGACCTTCAGAAACGGCGACTCCCACGCGCCCCACGACAACCCGAATGGCGACGTCGGTCGGAGCCAACCAATGGACGACTTCCGAGGGGGGCGACGCATGCGACTGAACGGAGTAGCCAAGCCAGCTTTGTCCAAGCCGTCGTGGCAGAGCACGCCGAATAAGGACAGATCACCCCGCAAGGAGTTCGCAGCTCTTCCCGCCGAGCCTTCGCCCATTCCAGAGCCGAGCACGCCTCCGAGACCGTCGCTAGAGCGCCCCCTCCCCATCCCCGACCTCCAGCAGTTTAGGCAGGCGAGCCGCGAGTCGTCCAAAGAGGATCTCGTCAACGAGAACACGCCACTGCGCAAAGCATCGTCCGCCTCGTCGAGCGGATCCAGCCTGCAGTTGGACACGTCCAGGCCCGACCGTAAGCCCGGCCTTCGGGACCCGGGCGACGTAGATCTAAGCACGGAAGAATTCCACCCATACGACGTCACCGACGCGGGTGACCTCACGCCAGAATTCACGCCCACAAACACACCCAGAATACAGAGAGATCGGGATTACTCCAACAACAACCCCCCCTACATCTCCACCTCCCGCCCCAGCGACGAAGAGGACGAAAACGATAATTTCAACGCCACTGATCCCGACTTTCACGCACGACTGAGAAACGTCATAGAGAACCAGGAAGCCGTTGCGGTATAATCTCTCATCCATCGTCGTCAGGCAGTTCAAATTTAGCAACAAACCTCGATTACAATGATTTATTTTTTTAAATTGCCATTTCAACCTTCAAATTTCTCTCTCTGCCATTTTTCTTTGTCATACAGTATTATAAGAACTTCACAGTGTAGCTCATGTGGAATTCGCAACTCATCATAACCTCTGAAGTGTCACTAAACCATTTGCGTTCATTTCTAACATTGGAGAATGGTTCTCTTATATTACCTTCCGATTCTTTTGTTGTGGTGTATTTTGAATATTTTGAGAGGATTTGACAAGACCCTTAGTGCCATACTTTTAATGCCGGTGCCAAGCCCCAAAAAAGTTTTCAGAGAAATATTTTTTTGGCACAGACACCACCACAATTGATATCAATTTCACCAACAGCTTGATAATAAGTCTGTCATATTTGGTATCTTATCCCCAAAATGATGAACCTGTTTGACTACAGAAAATGTTATAATGTGATGAGTTGCCACAAACAAGAAAGGCTACTAAAATTCCTATAGTTGTTTGTTTGAACATATCATTATTGCCTTTGATGAAACAAACTTATCAAAGTGACTCTCAGAACCCTATTGTTTATGCCTTTACTGCCAATGTTCTGTGTCGAAAGTCGTGGACAGAATCAAACATAAAACGGAGGCTTTTTAGGACACGTCGACAAACATGTACGACCGGCGCGCCTGAGAATGCTACGCTGGCGGGCGACCAACCGGAGCGCTGGTTACACCACACCAAAAACGTCCTGATCACATTCCAGTCCCATTGCCATGGCAACGGCACTCGCTTCCGACACGTGTACCCCACTGGTCGTATTAACAGCTCCAAATGCAACCGAAATAGTACACATGAGACCATCACCATCATGCTTCCTCATGACATAGCAAGATATAAATTGTGATATAGAAAGTAAGGACTACAACTATTAGTAGAGGTTTTGAAGAGAGAACTTAATGGAAAGAGTAAAGGATGTACATATTTCGTATATCTTTCATTGCTGGGTCTCCTGGACATTTTTTCCCCTAATTTATTTAAGACAAAAAAAACAAGCTCATTTATAATATATTTGTAGTTTTTTTTTGCTGTGTCATGTAAAATGTTAGCTGGTCTAGGAATGAGTGTATTTACTGATAAATATTCTTGTCAGTGTTTGTGTAAAAAAATCATGAAGTTAGTCTGTTGTGTTAGCTTTAATTGTGGTAGACTTTACAGTGTAGCATGTAGCTACTAGCACCACCATGGAATAGAAGAGAATGTAAGATTGTGCGAATTTGTAATCTGCTATGTTGACTGGGTATTTATGGGGAGGAGACATGACATTTGTCTGTTCTAGAGATCTTGTATATTTTGCTCAATTCAGACCTCTGGGAGGACTGAAAGTGTCCATGACAAAGATGGCTAACTAATTACAGTAATTAATTGATTAAATTTCACCTTTCGAATCATACTATCATGAAAAATTATCATGAAACTCATTTGGAAGAAATAATCTTCCATCCTGTAATCAGAATTTGGTGCTTTCTTTCTTAATTCATAGATACCCCTGTAGTTGCTTGAGTACATTGGATTTTGCAATGTGCTGCAGCTTAGGAAGGACACCTAGTGACTCATCAAAGAACTGCAAACAATTGCTTTTCAGCATGCTGAACGTGCACCTAATTTTACGACCACATGACATGCAAAGCTTTATACTACCCAGAGTGCTAATGATGTTACATGCTTACATTATATGGATTTTTATTTCCCTGTTTTAGTGATTGACTATTCTTGAACATTACAAGGTGCATTCAAAGCTAGCAAGCTACCTTTTGCAGAGTAAATTCATTGCAAATTCAGGCAGGAAACTATCCTAGTAGTTTCGTTGAAGTTTGTAACACTAATTATGTATTTTGCACAGTTAGGAAAGCAAAATCCCTGTCCCAATTTTTTCATAGCTTGTACAACTGTTGATGATGTTTTCTACTAATGAGCGACAATGCAAGCAAGTATGTACATGTACTTGCTTCAGCCTAACAAAGTTTCTACTAACACTCTGGCAAATGTAACGTTGAGAAGTGCAGAATACATGGTTATGCTTTTAAATTATACAGTGAAAACTGCTTCTTTGTCATGACACAAACATGTGCTTCTACTTAACACCAGGCATCCATAGTGATTTTAGGGCTGTAAAGCTGGATTTTCAAAGTCAATTTTCTGGCAATTTTTTTAATTTGGTAACTTTGAATCAACCCTATCCCATAGCATACTGATATCTGTGAGGCAAAAATCTGATGTAAATGGTTGCTTGTTTTGTATCGTAGACTGGTTGTATCCAATTGTTTAGCTTGTTATGGGGCTATTTAAAACACTTTTTAAGTATGAAGTGATTGACAAAATTGTGCTTAGAAATGGCAGTAAATGTCAAAATCAGACAGATTTCCTCATCCAGAATACCTTTCTGTTTTTCCGCCCTAAAATTGCATTGGATGCCTTGAATAAACGTATGCCTGGTATGTTTAAATTGGGAGGGCGCAGTCATGTTGCTTCTGCCTACAACTTTGTAATCAATGAGGATAAGCTTTATGCAGTAAATATTCCATCGCTAAGTTGCAACATGTTAGACTTTCAATCAGTGCAGTTCTCTTCCTGTGTGGAGCAAATCAGTGATTTGGTTTTTTCTTTTTCTGTGGCATCAACTTAGATTGTAGGATAGTCGGCTTTACCACTTCTGTGTAAGTCTTCTGTCTGTGCTTCGAAAACATTATCAGAGAGTGCCATTGGTAACAAACGAAAAGAGGGGGATATGGAAGTGTTCAGCTGTCACAATATAAGGTGCATTTTTGGATACAAAAAAAAGTAAGCTATTAAGATCCTACTAGGTCTATGAACAGATAATAGATGTTCTGCATTCTATTGTACAAAAGAATTATAAAGTATGGTAACAAACAGTACCTGTACATTGAGACAAGGATGTAGAATTATCAGATAGCGAAGATTAAAAAAGAAAAACATATTACTAATGAGATAATGTTGTGCATACAAGCAAGCCTTGTCTGTAATACTACAAAGAAGTGTAGAAATCCCACATCTTGTACTTTATACATTGCTGCAAGAGGACTGTGTGCCATGGAGCATTTTCTACCTAAAGCTTTAAATGCCTGCCTTAAAAAACTGCATACTTAATTGTAATCTTTTATTACTGCTTACCATTTAGATCAATGCACAAACAAGAGAAGAATATATGCGGTATTTGTAACACAAGTACAATGTAATGTTAGGTGTATGGCTTATATTTGTTTTCCTTTAATACAATTGACAACATGACAGCCAGCATACATGTAAGCACTGAAGTTGCACTCTACTTTGTAATGTTTTTGTGATATTTTGATGTACATTTTTGAATAGGAGCTGTATATTGTATTGAAACCAAGTGTTGTGTTGAAATTGTTCAGTTTTGAAATATGCTCAGCTCACCCTTTTTAATAAAGTCTTAGACGACAACATGGCGTGTTGAAGTTTTTATTTTCTTGGTGCGGTGTATAATGTGTGTGTGTGTGTGTGTGTGTGTGTGTGTGTGTGCGAGGAAAGATATACTGTGATCATATCATCGGACAAAAGTTTGCAACAAAATCTCCTCAAATCATCCAAACGTCCTCCATTCTTGGATTCTGAGTTCTTAACGTTATTAAGTTTCTATTCAACGATAAGAAGTTTTGGTGGTGGATTCATTGGCGTGTTCAGATCGTGTTTTGAGTTAAAAATGCGCGTTTCCTGACCTGGTGAATTTCGGAGAAGACAAAATGACACCAAACATATATGATTTGTATACATCCTTTCTTTCTTTCGTTTCTAAGAAACACTTCTTTCTAATGGTCCTCATTAGCACCGTAGTCTTTGCTTCCTGTCAAGTAAATGACCATGTGTTCTCCGAGGAAATAATCTTTCATTCTAACTTTTGAATCCATCGTCATAAACGGGCTACACTTGACCGTGACACGGTGTCAATTTAGCGCCACCCAGTGTCGGTTGAAGGTACTGCAGCTGCCGGCCTCATCTCCCACTGTCACAAACGGACTGTACCTGACCGTGACACGGTGTCAATTTAGCGCCGCCCAGTGACGGTTGAAGGTACTGCAGCTGCCGGCCTCATCTCCCACTGTCACAAACGGACTGCACCTGACCGTGACACGGTGTCAATTTAGCGCCGCCCAGTGATGGTTGAAGGTACTGCAGTCCCGGGAGGCTATCATCTACCATAAATGATCAGTGCGCGCACGAAATTTTGGACGTTGATACACTTACATGGTAACGACTGCAAATGTTAGACCAGCCGTTTGTATTGTAGCAAAATTTTGTATGATTGTTATCGCCACTTTACAACGTGGATATAAGCGAGCATTGGCCTCAAGCAGGAGGAGAAACTGCGCCAAGACATGTCTGTAGTGTTTATTAAAAAGCTTGGTATCATTTGCTTAGATGCTAGATCAGTTTCTCATGTCAAGGTTAGCCTCCTGTGCAGGCGCCACTGCGGTGGGGAAGAGTTTTTAACGCGTTATAAGTAGAGATAAAAACTCTTCCCCACCGCCGCGGGGCCTGCGCAGGAGGCTATGTCAAGGTCAGGTGCAGCCAGAGTGTGTATGTCGGATTGCTGCAGTACCTTCACCCTTCACTGGGCGGCGCTTTAGGACCACCGTGTCACGGTCAATACAGCCTGTTTTGTATGGTGGTTTGTAGTACCTTCATCCATCACTAGTCAGCGCTTCAGGGGCACCGTGTCGCGGCCAGGTGCAGCCCGTTTAAGGCATTAAATGCAATCTCAGGACGGCAAAACAATTGAAATATTCTGGGTGAGGAAATATGTCTGATACTGAATCAAAATGGCCCTTTGGTACGACGGGAGTGTTCTGGGATCTTATTTTGTGCAACTTTCCTGGTACTTTTTCAAGTTTTTGTCGGTAGAATGTCTTCCTAAATGTGCGGCAGAACGATGGGAAGTTTTTACAGTAGGTTTATTGCCGTTTTCCTGGTGTTCTGAGGAGAAAATGCGGATTTTTTTACCTGGTGGATTTTGGGGAAGACAACAAAATGGCGAGATAGCCTCGGAAGAATTGCGTGGTTTGGAGACAACTTCGCTTTTTTGAACAGGTAAGGAACAAACTTACTGATATTTTTCCATAGCAACTGGCAAGAGCATGCCATATTCTTTTGCAAGTTATATATGTGTCATTTTTCGCAAAAAAAAAAAATAGTGCAGCTCTGTAATTTCCAGCAAGGAGTTTCGGACGACTATTCCTTAATTAAGACAGGCTTTGAAAGAGTCCCAATATGCCTCGTTTTCTCGAATATTTTCAATGCGTGGTTTTCATTGTATGTCAAATGTATGTGTAGTCAATTAGACAGTTCATATTTGTAAAAAAAAGAAAAGAATGCGCTATCAAAAAAGTCTTATTTTTCTCCACGTGGCACAAATGAAGCTGTTGGAATGTGCACGTGTACATGATAAACCCTTCTGATGTTCCCGCCAAAAACTCGAGTTAACAAAGCAGGGTCCTTAAAGTCCACGTCGTCCATATGAACATGACATAAAAAGTTTGTAAACTTTAGTCCAGTTGATCATATGTCCGTTGATTTCACTATTTATTTCATTTTGTTATTATTTTTTGTTGCTATCCCTGATAGAATGAATATCAGAATGAACAACGTTGGGGCTACTTTCTTACTCTCCAAGCAGAGGTTGGGTTTTGGGTTATTTTTGGCGTGTTTTTAGACTTTTTTATCAGGGTTTCTTTTTTGCTCTGGAATTTTTCTTTTTTTTTTGGGTTGGGTGAAAGAAAATTCCAGTGCAAAAACCCCGATAACAAACAGTCCAAAATAACCCAAAACCCAAACCTCTGCTTGGAGATTAACTGTTACCACTTTCTATGAATTCGAACCCAGAACCCGTGCCCTATATGTATCCAAAAAGCTATTCGTGAAAACTTTGTGGGTAATAGCAAGGAGCTTCAACTAGAATGGAATAGGAATGGTCTAATCCGTTTTTCCTTTTCTTAATTTGACTTCGTAATAAGACTAGCATCACCATGTTAATAAGGCAAGGCTGTTTTGCACACCTGTGTGAAAACCATTTGGCATGGTCCCTCCAAAATGGTGGTTTGGCACGACGAGAATTCTCTAGGATGTTACATTTGTGCAACTTTTAGGGTACCTTTTCGACTTTTTATCGGAGGAATGTCTTTCTAAAGTGTACAGTAGACGGTTGGGGACTTTTCGCGGCGGAATTATCCTGTTTCGTGATGTTTTCAAGGAGAAAATGCGGATGTTCCCGAGATGGTGAATTTTCGAGAAGACAAGAAAATGGCGAGAATGTTGGCAGACACTGGATAGTTCAAAGGCGGCTTCGCTTTTCTTACAGGTAAGCAACAAACTTATAGTTACTATATGGCATATATTGTTCCCAGCAAATGGTATCACAACATCTCATGTTTAACAGCTTATATTCAGAAAGAAATTATGTAGTTCTCTAAGTTCCGCGCGGCCATTTCCTGATTTTAAGACAAACTTTAAAGGAGTCAATTTGGCGTCGCATTTTTACAGCAGTTTCCATGTGCGGTATGCTTGTAAGGTGTAATGCTTTATTTGTCAACTACACAACACCGCGAGTTCATATTTCTGAAAAAGAATGCTCAAACAAAAAAATATATTTTGTTTTTCGCCAGGTGGCTCAAAAACACCCATTGGAATTTGCGGATTCGAATTTGCACGTGTGCATGATTAAATCCTTAAAACAAGCTTAAGGCTGGATCCTCAAAGATTCAAGAACAAAGTTATATATCATGTTAATATACCATACTAGTCTACTTTTGATGGTTGTTGAAGGCATCCAAAATTATGCAATTTCAGGGCGGCAAAACTGAATTTTCTGAAGTAGTAAATTACATGACTGTATCAATCCTATAACAAACTGATATTTGAGACAAAAATTCAATTTCACTGAGGGGGAAAACGTAGGCTTGTTCTAGCTATCGTTGCTACATAAACATGAGACACCTCAACTAGCTTTTTTTAGCTTAGGCCATGTTGATTTGATATGGATGACATCCTCCGGGAGCCCCAAAACTGATGCGCGCGTGCGAATGAAAAAAAAAGTTTTGCAAAAAAAAAAGTTCTTTTCATTATGAAATCTACGTGGTCATGAGGGTTGAGCAAATGTCACAGAATATGGTTTGGCGAATAATCTAGTCTTCAAGTTCATTTCTTTACAATTTCGTCTTTTTTCGTTTGATTTTGGCATTCTACGACATTGGTATAGTTTTTATTAATTTTTTTTGTAACTTATGGTATATTTTTGCTCATTTTGCAACTGTTTTGTACGATTTACAGTATGGTTGAAAACTTTTTTTTTTTGGAAACGGCCGAAAATTCATGCGCGCGCAGATGTCATCCATATAATCAAATCAACATGGCCTTATTTCAAACGATTCAGGTTTGGAATGATGATGAAATGTGCTATAAGAAATGGCAGTACATGTCAATATCAAACAGATTTTCTCATCCAGAACTATTTTTTTTGTTTTGCCACCCTTGAATTGCATTGGATATCTTTGAATTTCAGTTTTCAGATAGCTAGTTGGTTTGCTTTGTTTAGGCCACACCAATTTAATTTGTTGGTTCTCGGATTCACCTCTTCATTTTTTTTCTGATTTGCAAAAAAAAAAAAGATTTTGGTTCTGAATCAACTCAAATATGCTCATATTTTGCCCCCAACAGTTGAAGAAAGTCTTTTTCTTCCTAGTTGTTACAGCTTTTCCATCTATCAATGCAGTGGTTTGATTAAAAGTTCAAATTCATTGTTTAAATATTAACCCTGCCTTTTGTGGTGACTTTATGGCTCCTATCGTAGCATTTGAGGCTATAATGGGATGCCTAGACCTGTTTTTATTTTTTGTTTCATCCTGTTGCTTCATATTTTTTCTGAAAACATCCGAGAACCAACAAATTGAATTGGTGTGGCCTTAGTGTTTTATACAGATTTCTGCACTATTAGATAAATGACGGGGCTGATAACAATCTAGCGTTGTACATGTAGCTTCTTCCTCTTCACCCATGCATGTAGTTATCTAGATCTGTGTCCCGAGGTTCTGCCAGCTGTGCAGGTGTTCCTGTCCTGGTGAGATGACACTTGTGATGACAGAGACACCAGGTGATTGGTTCCAGGAGTATCAGGTGAGATAACACTGAATTCGGAATTTTACGCACTAGCTAACCCTTATGCTATTTGAAACAAGTGCACACATGTGTAACTTCTAATGTCTATATAGTTAGGTGACAGCTGACTGATGCAGTAGTGATGGCTCCTGTCTTAACCTGACAACACTGGATTGGACCAGACCTGGTGACTTGAAGATCCAAAAGAAATATCAGGTGAGAAAAATTGGAATTGTGCATTCTACCTACCATTTAACACATAGTAATATTACAAATGTGTAACTTTTAATGTTTAT